ACTATTTACGCCTGTTTTCAATTCAAGGCCCAATTCCAGGCCTGGTTCGAGGCCCAATTCCCGGTCCAACCGGAAGCCTAATGGAGTGAAGTCGTTAGCCCACAATTGGTTGAGTAATTATTAATAATTGCAGAAAGATGACGATTCTTATTTATAGTGTAGCTTCACCTTCTAACTTATCAAAGTTTGTCGATGTGGGACAAACCAAAAATCAAACTTTAAAAAAAATCTATCCAAGTTTGTCGATGTGGGACAACCAAAAAAACAAACTTCAAAAAAATTGTCATATGTATTTATGGGTTTGAGTTAAATTTAGGTCCTCAACACATCCATATGTCTTCTAGGTCTATATTATAAAATTGGTAAATTTTACAAGAATAAAAAGAATATAAAAATCGTTCAGATAATAATATATTATTTTTACATGTCCATGTAAGCACATAAAGCCATCACTTAATTACAGTCTCCATGAGTTACATGTTAAATCATTCAACCAATGGTGTATGAATTAAGCTAATCTATCTGCGACTTGCAGTGGTAATAGTTGTTCAAGTAATCATCATCACCAAAGAATCTTGTAAACTACCAATGCACACTTAGCTCCAATACCAATGTGAGGTCTCCAAGGCTGCTAGAGTATATTATGCGCAGCAAAACTCAGAGCTCCGTTCTCATATCATGCCTAATTGACTGAACAAGTTAATAAATATTATATTAGTAAAATTTACAAGAATAAAAAGAATATGAAGATCGAAGAATAAATAAATATTCTCTCTGATATTCAACATATATTTTTAAGTGAACTATTACGGTTTTCATAAAAAAACAAAAAAAATAGAAATTTTTAGTCTCTTAATATCTAGCAGAAAATTAGATTATTTGGCACAATCCATATAGAAAAGATTAGAAATAATGTATCATTAAGAAGAAATAAAAAAATATAAATATTTTAAACGTAAAAATATTGATAGTAAACATAAAATTAATTACATATTTTATAAATATATTATTTAAATATAAATTAAAACAAGATCCGCGCATATGCGCGGGTTCTCTCCTAGTATGAGTAATATATGTACACTAGTGTATTTTTTTTTTTGATGACATATGTACACTAGTGTATATGAATCGACGTGAATAAATTGTTTTAAAAATATTTTGGATATTATATTAATTTGCAAAAATCTGTTGAAAAAAAAAAATCTTCCATCAGCATGCCATCTCGTTTTCGTACGTAGGCAGAGCCGGCCATCTTTTCACTAGTTGACTTTCCCGCACCTTGTGCGGATTGATATAATTTTCATTTGATTGTTTGAAAATATAATAATAGTTTGGATTCATTTGTTTTTATTCTTGAGTATATTTATTTGTTAGATTTCCTTACATTTTAATGTTGGAAGACATAATCGTGAAAATAGTATAGCATAGAAGAAAATAAATAAAAACATAGTAGTATCCAAATAATTTAGTTTAAATAGTTTTGAGATCTTTTGATTACTGTTCTATGTATTTTAGAGGTAAATTTTTAAGGTTCGTATAAACTTATTTGATTTTGATCACTGTTTTCTGTGTTTTAAACATCACAAATATCATCATTCCATTAGTTAGAGTTTTTTTTTAATTTCAGTTTTTTTCGTCTTGAAATGACATTCCATATGTTTTTAAATAATTTTCATTTTTTGTTTCTTTTAACATTTTTGTTATATTTTTAAAAAATTTTGGAAACATAAGAAATGGTAAACACTAAGAAATATAGATTCTATTTTTTATATAAATAAAAAAACGTTTTTTTTTTAATTTCAGTTATATATCATTTTAAAAATTATTTGATTGACTATGAAATTAAACCTTAAATCATATTTAGACCGGTTTCTTTTAAGTTTTTTTTTTATACATCATCATATAAGAACCAATAAAAAATGATACGTAATTGCAAAATAGGGCTAAACGGACTGTTTATAGCCGAAATTTATTTTGGAGCTGACACGTAAGCGAAAAATTGTGTAACTCATTGTAAAACGTTTTTTAAAAATTTTTTTCTAAATTTTGGTTTTATATAATTTTAAAAACGTCATTTTATAGCTTTTTAAATAGATTCTATTTTTTTTTTCTTTTAACATTATAAATTTTGGAAACATAAGAAATGGTAAACAATAAGAGATATAATTTTTTTTTTTAGAAAAAAAATTTTTAAAATTTTTTTTTCTAAATTTTGGTTTTATATAATTTCAAAAACGGTTTGGTTGACTACGGAATTAAGCATTAAACCATATTAATTTAAATCGGTTTGTTTTAAGTTGTTTTACACATCATCATTTAGGAACCAATTAAAAATGACATATAATTGCTAAATAGGATTAAACGGTATTTTTGCAGCCGAAACGCATTTTGGAGCTGACACTAGTGGCGGAGCCACTTGAATCAAGTCGGCGGCGAATGACCCCAATGAACTTTTTAAAATTGGTGCAATTTATCAAAGCCTAATAGTAATGCTTCCACTCATAAAATCATATACACTCCTAATTGTCCCTAATGAAAAAAAATTCTGGCTCCTCCACTGGCTGACACGTAAGCGAAAAGTTATGAAATTCGCTGTGAGCGCGACACGTAAGCAAATCACTACACAAATAAGTATATAGATTTATTTTCAAATTTGACTCCTTTGTTGTGTAAAAGATCGCTATTTCGATATCTGTTCAGTAATATTGAATCGATTTTTTATCTAATGGCATACAATATTATCCTCTTAATAGTCAGACAAGTTTTTTATTGCTTTAGGGAATAGGGATGTTGCATTAGTGTTCGGTTTTGGTGTTTTGGTTATATATATATATATATATATCGTTACTTGAGTACCAAGCGATGAGTTTGGGAAGGTTGAAATTTTGAAATGTTGGGTTGAATACCGTGAATTTTATGCAATCAAACTTTAAAATTAAAGCAAATTGAACAGAGCATTATGGACTTTCTTTCGGACAAGGAGGCATTTCCCGAAAATATAAGAGATATGCTAAGAAGAAAACTGAATTACCATAAATAGAAAAACTTTTGACAATTTTCTAAGACTCTATGATTCCAAGAAAAAAGTGTTGGAGAGTCGTATAGCTCCTCAAATCGAAAGTTACAACTTTCAAATGATGATGGAGAGTAAATTTTCAACTGTAAATAAATCTAACAAAAGTTGAAACTGAACTGTTATTCTCTTCTCTGTAATTTGATGTGGACTGTAATTTAGCAAGAAAATTGTTGATACTTGAAGATTAATTTTGAGAAGGTGATGATAAAAACATGATGAAGGTTGATATAAAGACCACATGGAAATCACACCTAAAACCTGTATCACATTCAAAAGCGTACCCAGCGATTTCTTGATTGCCAGATTATTAAATGTTGCCTCTGCTCCTTTAGCCGTAAATAACAACGCTGCTCTGTTCAGCTGATGAAGTCTACAAAACCAAATGATTGTTTCCTTCAAAAAGTGTTCAAAAAGAAAAAGAATTGAGAGGCGTTGATGACAAAGAGTGAATTACATTCCTGAAATATGATGGGGATGGTAGGAGATGATGGAGAATTCAAATGCAAACTGAACAACGATACCTACGAGGTATGGTGCAAGAGTAGCTGTTGCTGCCGGTCCAGTCCATGGCCAGACAAATCCCATTGTCACCATTGGGAATCTTAAGGCTAAGCACTAATGTTGCTACAGAGGAGATTCTTTGTCCTAACTGAGAAGGAAAGGAGTGGTCGGTTATCGGGTACTCTTCCTGCTCCTGATGACTTTCTTGAATGTTGTATTATCAGGAAGAAAAGCAGCAACTCCACAGTAGAAGAGAGCATCAGTGAAGAACAAGATGAGGAAGAGGATGAAAAATTCAATGACTTCGTCTAATTATGGAAAGCGAAGGTGAGAAGAGAATCGAAAGGGATAAGCAATAAGGACCTGTGAGCAAAGAGTCTTCAAAAACTGCTGAGACTATTCTTCTTAAGTAAAATCGGAGGTAAAATGAGAGAGGAAAATAAGATGGCAGGACCCTATGAGCCAGAGCAGGCGTCTCCAGGACAACAATAAAATGTGAAGAGAATAACCTGTTCATGCAATGAACGAAAAAACAACCAGAAGATCTTACTCACAACTCATAAATCATATACAACTAACAGTAAAGAAAGGAACTTACTTTTTTATCAGCTTTTAGGTGCAGAGAATGGTAACAAGGAAGATGAGCAGGCTGATGCCTCGATGGACGAACCTAGAGTTTGGAAAATGGTGAGTGTCAGCAAATATTCATAACCATGGTCTTTACAAGACCGATGCAGCAGATGATAACCACATCAACAGCAACAACAAATAAAACAAACAATTGATTTCATTTCAACAGATTTTAAAAGTGATATCGATCAGATAAAGTTCTGGTTTTTCTCTCAGGGAAGAGAGACAGCAATGTGCAAATTAACTAATTTAGAATTTGCAAAACACCGTGTCTTGACTCCACTTCAAACTCACTGATATAAGTTTTCTCAACTAGGGTTCTTAGCTAAATCAAATGAATCGTATAAGACAATTGGTACAACGTCTAAAACCACATCGACGGGTACAAGAAATATCTGTCGATATACATTAAAACCATGAGACACAGATGCAGCAAAGAAGCAAATCTAAAGGCTGAGCAGAAGTTTAGGTAAATTGATTGAACAAAATTTTACCTGAAAGGAACTCCGAGGATGAAAAGGTGAGAACAAAAAAGGATGGCACCAAAGAAGAAGCCAAGGAGGACACAAGTTTCGCAGCCATGGCCAGGGAAGCAAATACACAGTCGATATCAACATTGTAAATACCGGTTAGATTAGTTGTATTTAATTTTTCCGGTTTAGTTGGTTTAGGCTAGACGTATATATATACTTGTACATTGAGTTTTGATAAAATACAGAAAATATCTTTCATAACAAACTTTCTTTGCTCATGAACTCTATTATGGTATCAGAGCTTTTCTTCTTCGTCTTCTTCAAATCTTGTTGATTTCACGTCGTTTTCTTTCAAATCTTCCATTTCTGAACCGATTAATCTTCTTCTTCATCGTTGATTGATATTCCGCACAATCAATTTCGGAGAAAATGGCGAAGAATGGGAGAAAATTGAGAAACCGGAGCTTAACACCTGAAGATGATGGATCTGCTGTAAACGCTCATCGCGATTCAGATATGGTTGAAGAACCTGAGGTCATGATGACGAAATCACAGCATATCGTGAGATCTGGGAAATCTGGAGGGATAGAACCGATGCCGAAGCTTGGTGAATCCTTCGATAGTATACACAGTCCATTCTACCTCCATTCCTCGGATCATCCAGGTTTGGCTATTGTTGCTCATAACCTAGATGGCACTAATTACAACAGTTGGTCGATTGCAATGAGGATTAGTCTCGATGCGAAAAATAAGCTGAGTTTTGTAGATGGATCCTTACCAAGACCTTCTGAGAATGATAATTGCTTTAAGATCTGGTCTAGATGCAACAGTTTAGTGAAATCTTGGATTCTGAATGTTGTGAGCAAGGAGATATATGATAGTATATTATACTATCCTGATGCGATGGAGATGTGGGATGATTTGTTTGTCAGATTCAAAGTTAACAATCTGCCTCGGAAATATCAGTTGGAACAAGCTGTAATGACACTCAAACAAGGTTCTCTTGACCTTTCTGCTTACTACACTAAGAAAAAAACATTGTGGGAGCAGCTCTCTAACACAAGGAACCGTATTGTGAAGAAGTGTGATTGCGATCAGGTCAAAGAACTTTTAGAGGAAGCTGAAACCAGTCGTGTTATTCAGTTCCTGATGGGGTTAAATGACAATTTCAACAACATAAGGGGACAGATTCTTAACATGAAACCGCGACCAAGTCTCACAGAAATATATAACATGTTGGATCAGGATGAAAGTCAAAGGGTAGTCGGCTTCACTGAAAAATCTATTCCCAACCATTCTGCATTTCAGACTCAAGCAACTATTCCAGAAGAGTCGAACATCTTAATGGCACAAGGGAATATTCAGAAGCCAAAATGCTCCCACTGCTCTCGTCTTGGACATACTGTTGATAAGTGTTACAAGCTGCATGGATTTCCACCTGGTCATCCCAAGAACAAGAAGAACTCTTCTGTTGGCAGCACGAATTTGGCAACCTCAAACCAAGTTCAAAACCATGTTGAAATGGCTTTCGACGAAGGGAAAGAGAACATGTCGAATGATCAACTTCAACAAATGATATCGTACTTAAGCACTAAGCTACAATCTGCAAGCATCACGTCGTGCCCTGATAAAGCTGTGGCTTCAACTTCAAACTCTGTTCCAAATATCTCACAGATATCTGGTACATTTCTTTCACTCTACAACTATACCTATTATGACATGTTGACATCTTCCATATCTCATGAAACTGAGTTGTCCCTTAGAGCTTGGGTAGTGGACTCGGGAGCTAGTCACCATGTTACGCATGATAGGAGTTTATATAAGGAGTACAAGAAATTGGATAGAACTTATGTCACATTGCCCAATGGTGTCACAGTTAGGATAGAGGGAACTGGTTACATTCAACTTACAGATGCTCTCTCTCTCTTTAATGTGTTGCATATATATTCCTGATTTTCGCTTTAACCTCTTGAGTGTTAGTGTCTTAACTAAAACATTGAATTCTAAAGTGTGCTTTACATCGGATGCATGTTTTATTCAGGCTCTTACTCAGGAGTTGATGATTGGTCGAGGTAGTCAAGTTGCCAACTTATATGTTCTGAATTTAGATAAATCGATTGTTCGTTTATCTAGTTCTACTATTCCAGGTACCACTATCTGTTCTGTTTCTAAAGTCAGTCCTATCATATGGCATAAACGATTAGGTCATCCTTCTATGACCAAGATATATTCTCTTACTGATGTATTGCATTTACCTAAACGAAAACATAATGATACATCTGATCCTTGTCATGTTTGTCATTTATCAAAACAGAAACATCTTCCATTTCAATCTCTGAATCATTTTCGTACAAAACCGTTTGAATTGATTCACATAGATACATGGGGTCCTTTTTCTGTACCCACGGTTGATGATTTTAGATATTTTTTGACAATAGTTGATGACTTTAGTCGTGCAACTTGGATATATATGCTTAAACAAAAGTCAGATGTTTCACATGTCTTTCCTGGTTTCATACAAATGGTAGAGACTCAGTTTAATACCAAAGTTTGTTCTGTTCGTTCTGATAATGCGCATGAACTGAAATTTACTGAACTATATGCATCGAAAGGCATCACTGCATATCATTCTTGTCCTGAAACTCCTGAACAAAATTCTGTGGTTGAGAGAAAGCATCAACACCTGTTGAATGTAGCTAGGGCTCTTATGTTCCAGTTTGGGGTTCCGATTGAATATTGGGGTGATTGTGTATTAACGGCTGCATTTTTGATTAATAGACTTCCCACTCCTGTCTTAGATAACAAGTCTCCTTATGAAAATTTGATGTCTAAAACTCCAGATTATCATTCTCTTAGGACTTTTGGTTGTCTATGTTACAGTTCTACATCCCCTAAGTCTCGAACCAAATTTGATCCTAGAGCTCGTGCATGCATCTTTCTAGGATACCCTTCAGGATATAAAGGATACAAGCTATTAGATATAGAAACATACTCAATTTCTATTTCTAGACATGTCATTTTTTATGAGGATACTTTCCCTTTTGCAACTTCTAACATCTCGGAAGTTGTAAAGGACTTCTTTCCTCATCTTCATTCCCCTGCTCCAAACACTGATGTTCATTTGCCTCTTGTGCAACCATCATCTGATGCTCATCATCATACAGATGAGTCATCCTCTGTGATTTTTGTTCCTTCCGAATCTAAATCACATCGGCAGAGAAAACTGCCTTTCCATTTGCAGGACTTTCATTGTTATACTAATACTCCTACTACAACTAGCCCATATCCTCTATCAAACTATATTTCTTACTCATATCTATCTGAGCCTTTCCGTGCTTTCATTAACATCATCACTAAAACACCATTACCACAAAAATATTCTGAAGCTCGGAAGGACAAGGTATGGACACTACAAGAAAGATCGGCTTTTACGTCGGCAGATATCGACGTAAATTCGACGTAAAAGAACATTTACGTCGAATTAACGACGAATTACAATTCGTCGTAAAACGATCGTCGTAAAACCCAAATCGTCGTAAAATCGTCGTAAAATTACCAACTCCGGAAAATCGTCGTAAAATCGTCGGAAACAATTCGTCGTAAATGCGACGTAAAATTTCCAACGGATGTACAACGAAATAACTCCATCATAAGAACGACGTAAAATCGATGTAAAATTACATCGATTTAACAACGATTAGGAGACGAAGAATTTCAATTAAGGGAAAAATAAATTTTTAATTATCGATGTTAAATCGTCGTAAATTTTCGACGTAAATCCGACGTAAAGATATTCGTCGTAAATTCGTCGTTAAATTTTTCGACGTTAGATCGACGTAAATTTACGACGAATTTACGTCGATTAATTCGATTTAATTCGATTTTAATAAATTAATTATTTAATTCGATTTTAATTTAATTAATGAATTTTTTAAATAATAAAAAAAAATAAAAATAGAAAAAATTTGAAATTTAAATTCAAAAATAATTTATAAATAAAAAAAAATTACTACAAATTGTTTTTTACAAAAAACCTAATCTATACAAAGTCGTAATCGTCGAGGTTGAGATCGACGTCACGAGGAAGCTCTCCGTCTTGGCCGCCCGTCGCTGCTGGACCGACGTTTTCCGTCTGCACTACCGGAGCCGAAGACTGACCGCCCGTCACTGCTGGGACCGGAGCCGAAGTCTGACCGCCCTGCGTCTGCGGGTCCGAGGGTCCAGTACCCGAAGTAGCTCCGGTCTCAAAAACCCTCCGTGCTCGCTGTTGCCTCGCTCGGATTGCGGTGGCCAACTGCGGAACCGCTTCCGCAATGATGTCGAAGAGATCATGGATCTCGGTGAGCTCCTGCTTCTGGGCCACTTGCTCATGCCTGAGAGTGGTGATCTCAGCATTGGCCGTAGCAAGCTCCTGGCGAAGCTGCGGATCCTGCGGGCGGTGGAATCCGGAAGCCGTGGCGGCAGGACAGTCTCTAATAGAGCCCATCCCTAATGTTCGGCCCTTCTTCTTCGGAGCGACCTACAAATGGAAAATAAAAACGTTAATTATTTATTAAGTAATTATAAATATAATAAATTTAAAAAAAATTGAAATAGATCATACCTCTTCGAAAATCTGGTCTTGCTCAGCGACGGTCAACGGTACGTGGATAGTACCGTCAGGTGTGGCCTGGGTCTCCCGCTCGGCGATCCGCTGCATAGCGGCATTGTAGATCTCCTCGGACCGAGCGTCGACAAAGCTCCCGTCCTTCTTCCGGTGAGTGGTCTCGAAGAGCTTCGTCATTGGAGGTAGTTCTCCTCCGTTCTCCTCGGCCTACCAATTAATAAACATTATTAGTCAAAAATATTTAATAAATTATAGTAATAAATAAAATTAAAATAATAATGAAATAAATTATATTTAATTACTTACCATCATGAGACGTCTTCCCGCAAAAGATACTTGGCCAGAAGTGTGCGGGGTCACTAACTTCTCACCAGTCACCGGATCGACCCGGTTTCGGACGGCCGAACACTTAGCAGCGGTGGTTTGGGCATGCGGGTCCACCCAATACGCCTTCAACCCGTTCCAACACCAAGTGGACATGGAGCTCGGCTTTGCGTCGTCGCCGTCGGTCTCCCATTTCCGCTTCCAATCGGAAACGGTGTTGACTAGGCGTTTCTTCGCCTTTTCCACGAAAGCATCGCGGACCGTCTCGTTGATCCCGATGTCCCAATTCCACCGTTGCTGCAAAAGAAAACAAAAAATTAGATAAACAATATAAAAGTAAGATTAATTAAATTTAAAACAATTTAAAATGATATAAATAATATTTAAAAATATTACCGCGAAGCACTTGTACCAGGTGTCGCACGTCTCTTGCGACACCTTGCTCCAATTGTAGTGCGGCTCCACGAAATGACTCTTAATGCAGTCGGAAACGCTCCGACCGACACAATTATCCAAAGTAAACCTATGAAACAAAAAAAAAAAATTATTACATTAATATTTAAGTAAATTAAAGCGTTAATTTAAAAACTATAAAAAACAAAAAAGTTTACTTACCAAAAAGAGCCTGGTTCCGCTTTTCCGGGAACCAGACGTCGTAAAGCCCCCCGTCCCGGTAAGGCTAGTAAATCCTCAACCGTAAACTGGGCATACGGATGAGGAGGGACGGGTACCGGTTCGGCAGCCGGGGCGGGTACCGGTTCGGGAGCCGGTGGAGGAGGCGGTGGTGGAGGCGGTGGTGGAGACGGCTTCGCGGTATTCGGAACCTGAGAGGCTCCGGAAGATGAGGAAGGGACATCGGTCCCGGTGTTTCCCGAGGCAGACGCCCGGGAAGAATGTCCGTCCGCCATGAAATTGATGTAATGCGTCTTCCGTCGAGGCATCGTCTGCAAAACGGAAAAAAATTATTTTTCAAATTAATTACAATGTCGATCCTAAATCTAACAAATTCCGATCCTTAATCTAACAAATTCTGATCCTAAATCTAACAAATTCCGAGCCTAAACTAATTCCCGACCTAAACCGTTTGAATTTCTAAACTATTTAAAATTATTATAATTTGAAATAATTAAAAAAAATTATTTACCTTTTTTTTTTGCGTCGAAAGGAGGAGGTGGGAAGGAGGAAGCAGAGACAGCGAGAGAGGAAGGAGAGATGAGCGACAAAATGAGGAAAGGGTGAGGTCCTATATATAGAATTTATATTCGTCGTAAATTCGTCGCAAAGTTCCCACCGTACACAAAGCGAATAAGACAAACACACGTGGGTGTATCTGGACTTTGCGACGAATTTACGACGATCCGTGTTATTCGTCGTAAATTCGTCGTAACATTACGACGAATTTACGACGAATCGTATAAATCATTAAAATTAAAACGGCTGTGTATACACATATCGTCGTAAATTCGTCGTAATATTACGACGAATTAACGACAAACTATACAAAACTGATGAAATTCAAAAAATTGAAACATCCATAAGGACATACAAGCATGTCTATTCATGATAAATGTGGTGTGTATAACTTTCTAACATGTTTACATAACTTAATGAAGGTTTTAGTAAGATGTAAGATAAATCCATACATCTTGTGTAAATGTATATAACACCTTAAGATTACTTGATAAACACATATATGTCAATTTTAGAATTTTTTTTTTTTTTGTTTAGAAAGTTGTTTTACCTTATGAGATGGTAAGCCATTTCATTCTCTTCATCAAAATCCCCCCAGAACCCCATAAAAGATTGATTTTAAGATTTAGGAGTTACATTTCGTCGTAATCTCGATGGTATATTACGACGAATTTACGACGATTACTCCCATTCGTCGTAAATTCGTCGTAATAAAAACCACATTTCTACAAGTTCTTGAACCTTACAATACAGACCCTTATATAATACATCAGTTTACTTAGGAAAATGAACCCAAAAACCATTTTGTAAGTTGGGAAAGCTAAACCCTATAGGGTTTAGGGTTTGCATGTTACGACGAAGTTACGACGATTTCTTAATAATCGTCGTAAATTCGTCGTAAAAGTCAACATATGTTCAAGTCAACACATAAACAAATTTTCAATCTTCATATTATAGAGGTATGGTGGATCACTTGATAAATTTTCTAACCGGGTCCCCAAGAAATGAAAACAAGAAGCTTATATAAACAAAAATTTAAATTTGACAAATGTTACAGTGAAACGTTCAAATCATGCAATTAATTAATGTCAACATATTTAATTAGTCTTCATCAACATTTTCCTCGGTGTCCTCA